GGACAGGAGGATCGCAAGTTCAAAGCAAAAGCCAGGTGCTAAGCAACTCAGTGAGACTCTGTCTCTAAATAAAATACATAATAGGGCTGGGGATGTGACTCAGTGGTTGAGTGCCTCCGAGTTCAATCCCTAGTAAACCTTACCCCCCCCCAAAAAAAAAGACCCAGAAAATAAAATATCTTATGGTTTGAAGTGCTCACTTTTTTTTTTAATATATTTTTTTTTAAACAAAAGAGAAAATGAGATTGAGAAGTGTCTGAGTGACTTGGGTGAGGCCACCTCACCAACTGGTTTTAGAATTGAGATTCATATCACCCAGCTGGCCCCAGCACCAAGGCTTCTTTTGTACTACCCTGCATCACTATACCGCCCACCCACCCAGCTCTGCCTTGCACTTACTCATCAGCTCTGCCTTGCACTCACTCATCTCTGTGAGAACTGAGATAAGAAGGTGTAGAGTAGCACCTTATTCCATCTCAGGTGAAAATGTGTGTAAAGTACCATATTAAATCAGCTTGGATATTTTAAAATCTGAACAATGAAATAAGAATTGAAAAAGATATGTTTTATGGTAGTCTGGAACATCTCTGAAATGACTAATCATGAAAAGGCAATAAGTGATAGCCAAAGATGACTTGTATGTGAACTGCTGGGTGCTTGCTTATATTTTGGACTTTTTGCCACTGCTATATAACTAACCTAAAATAGACACTGTTAAAATCAGATGTCATGTTTTAATATTAATAACATTCTCTGGCTGGATGCCTGTAATCCCACTGACTTGGGAGGCTTGATACAGGAGGATCCCAAGTTTGAGGGCATCCTGGGCAACTTAGCAAGACCCTATCTTAAAATAAAAATTTAAAAAGAACTGAGCTAGAGTGCCCCTGGGTTTGATTCCCAGTACCAGAAAGTTGTTAACAATAGTCTCTGATCCCCTTCCTACCCAATGTTTTACTGTATTAGTTCCACATAGCTTCTGAGTGATTGTATTAAATTAGCATCCATGTTATTTCCTCAGTAGTAAGACCCTTGCCTTTCAAGAGATCACAACCTGTTTGTCAGAAAGTGATTGTGTCTGCTGATAATTTAATATGATGGGGAAGGTTAAAGGTCATGCCGAGATTGTGGGCCAGTGTGTGCTCTGTCTTAGCACCAGAGTAGCCCATAGAACCCCCAGAATCCATGCTGAAAATACTGTTCTTTGAATTTTGTGTTGCTTGGAATAACAGAGGCTACAGGTATCTATTTCAGCCACCTTAATGTTTCTACTTTATGTACTATGTAAGAGGTTTTCATCCTTTCTAATATATTGAGGAAGAAACTGGAGACAAAAATATATTCTTACACAAAGCTTCTCAAGTCGGGAGTAAGCTGAAGATATATTCTGTTATTCTTTGCAAACAGCTATCAATGAATGATCAGTAGATTCTAGCCTGGCAAATTTATTTTAAAACCATCTGATTATGACCTTTATAAATCTGTACCAGTTACTTTCAAAAATTGTCAATTCTTGACTATGGAATAATCATTGAATAATTTTGTAACTGTTTTGTAATTAAATCCCTTTGGCTTCTAATCCCTAATTCTTTCAATATACATTCAGTGTTAATCTGTTAAGCCTTTTTTTTTTTTTTTTCCTTTTCTCTCTTTTTCTTCTCTCTTTTTTTGTGGGTACTGGGGTTGATTCATGCAGGGCCTTGCATATGCTGGATAAACATTCTTAGCCAGCCACCCCCACCACACCCTACCCTTTTAAATTTTAGTTTTGAGACAGGGTTTCACTAAGTTGCCCCAGGCTGACCTTACACTTGTGAAACTCTGATCTCAGACTCTGGAGTAGCTGGAATAAGGTATGAAACACTATGTCTGGCAATCAAATCTTTATTTCTCTTTATACCATCTGAGTGTTATCACTTGGAAGTTGCTGACATGAAAACTCGTACTTAGCCAAGCGTGTGCCTATAATCCCAGCGGCTCAGGAGGATCGTGAGTTCAAAGCCAGCCTCAGCAATGGTGAGGTACTAAGCAACTCAGTGAGACCCTATCTCTAAATAAGATACAAAAATGGGCTTGGGATGTGACTCAGTGGTCAAGTGCCCCTGAGTTCAATCCCAGGTACCAAAAAAAAAAAAAAAAAAAAAAACCCAGAAAGATGCTCCCCCTCCCTAGAGAGTATATGCTAGGCAAGCACTCTCTGAGCTGCATCTTTAGTCCATTTTTAAAATTTTATTTTGAGGGCTGGGGTTGTGGCTCAGTGGTAAAGTGCTTGCCTTGTGTGAGGCACTGGGTTTGATCCTCAATACCCCACCCACACATATACATACATAGATGCATACATACATAAAGCTATTGTGGCCAATTTGGAAAGCAGTATGGAGATTTCTTGGAAAGCTGGGAATGGAACCACCATTTGACCCAGCTATTCCCCTTCTCGGTCTATTCCCTAAAGACCTAATAAGAGCATGTTACAGAGACACTGCTACAACGATGTTCATAGCAGCACAATTCACTATAGCAAGATTATGGAATCAGCCTAGATGCCCTTCAATAGATGAATGGATAAAAAAAATGTGGCATTTATACACAATGGAGTATTACTCTGCATTAAGGAACGACAAAATCATAGAATTTGGAGGGAAATGGATGGCATTAGAGCAGATTATGCTAAGTGAAGCTAGTCAATCGTTAAAAAACAAATACCAAATGACCCCTTTGATATAAGGGGAGTAAACAAGGACAGGGCAAGGACGAAGAGCTTGAGAAGAAGATTTACATTAAACAGGGAGAAGAAAAGGGGAGGGGAGGGGAGGGGAGGGGGGATAGTAGAGAATAGGACAGACAGCAGAATACATCAGACACTAGAAAGGCAATATGTCAATCAATGGAAGGGTAACGGATGTGATACAGCAATCTGTATACGGGGTAAAGTTGGGAGTTCATAACCCACTTGAATCAAACTGTGAAAGATGATGTATTAAGAACTGTGTAATGTTTTGAACGACCAACAATAAAAATAAAATAAAATAAAATAAATAAATAAATAAAGCTATTGTGTCCATCTACAACTTAAAAAAATTTTTTTTGAGACTGGATTTTGCTAAATTTTGCAAGCTGGCCTTGAATCTGTGCTCTTCCCACTTCAGCCTCCCAAGTAGCTCTGATTACAGGCATATATCATCTCATCCCATGACATGAGATTTCGCTAGTCCAGTACCAACATTGTATAGATAAGCAAATAGAGTCTTAGATATGTGAAGTAACTTGTCAAAGAACATGCCTGAAATTGGTGGCAAAGGCTAAATTCAAACCAAACCTAATTTCTAGACTGCTCATCAGCATCCACATTTGCTTTCCCAGGTATTTTCTTATTAGAGCACAAATCTACTCTGACTTATTATTTTCAGCCTTCTGCTTTTCAGTGGAATAAAATTTTTTAGTGCAAAACTTCTCCCACATTTTGAGGTCTGATATGACTGTGTCTAAGTTTCTGCTTGCTTTGACAGTACATTATAGCCCTTTGCCCATGGATTTCTTCTTAACTATCATACTTGCTCTCTAGTGTAACCATATTTGCCCAGATCATTTTTTTTTTAATTTAAATCATTTTCCTGCCTTACTATGCTTTTGACTTCCAAGAGCATGTTAGGTTTTTCTTTTTCTTTTTTTTTTAAGATAAATTACACTATTCACTAAGCATGTAACCTTAAGACAAATTATGTGAACTGTTATAGCCTTATTTAATTCATCAATAAAGGGGAATAGTAGTTCACTTAAAGGGTTGCTGTGAAGATTATGTAGATATCTAATTTTAGTTCTCTTGAGTATATGCCTAGGAATGGAATTAGTATAGAATTTTTAGTTGAATAGCATGAAATAAGACAGAGAACTAAAATTTATTAGGAGATTTAGTTTTTTTTTTTTTTATTTTAGAACTAGGCATTGAACCCAGGAATACTTTATCACTGAGTATATACCAAGTCCTTTGTCATTTTTTATTTTGAGATAAGGTCTCTCTAATTTTCTGAGGGTTTTGCTAAATTGTTGAGGCTGGTCTTAAACTTGAGATCCTCCTGTCTTGGCCTCACCGGTTGCTGAGATTATAGGCATGTACCACCATATACCTGGCTTGTTTAGGGGATTTGGGATTTTCTTTCCCTTTTTTATTGGTTAAGATGTAAATTCTTTGCATCGGGCCTCATGGAGCACTGTGCTCCCTGAGGTACTTGGCACATCAAAAAAACTGATGGAAAACAAGAGTCTGCATGGCAATGGCCCATGCCTATAATTCCAGTGGCTTGAAAGGCTGAGACAGGAGGATTGCAAGGTCAAAGCCAACCACAGCAACTTAGTGAGGCTCTAAGTAACTTAGTAAGACCTTGTCTCAAAATTTAAAAAGGGTTGATTGAGGATATGGCTCAGTTGTTAAGTGCCCCTGGGTTCAATCCCCCAGTACCATAAAAAGAAAACAAAAGCCTACAATCAGAAAGGACCACAAACAAGTACGGATGTCCCACATAATAAAAGGTATTTGTATTAGATAGGATAACAAAAATAACCCCCACATCTTTGTGGTTTTACTTTGGCCAAATCATTCGTTTTCATTCACTTCATAGATTGGAACTGTGGGAATCAGAAAAGGAAAACTTTTCCCAAAGGAATTCAAGTTAGAAAAAGGTTAGATTAAGGTGAACACTAATATTTTTTTATAACATAGCCTTTCCTGTAGAGCACGAGACTTTGGAGATTTGATAAAAAGATTTTCTTAGCCATTCCCTTTCCCAGTCCAAACAGAACTGAGAGGGAGAGAAAGGAATCTAAAGCCACTTGGGAAATTATTTTTTGGTCTTTCATTCACTCAGTTCAGGAGCAGGCTTTCAAGCATTTCCTTTAACCTTTACTGAAAGCCTTAGAAATGAAATAGTTGAGGGAGAACTTAGTGTAAAGCCTGTGGCGTCACTTGGAGGTCACTCATCACTTTTTCTTTTCTTCTTTTTCAGTAAACGAGATAATTGGGAGAGACATGTCCCAGATTTCTGTTTCCCAAGGCTCAGAGGCGAGCAGAGTCACTCCCATCCTCGATCCTGAGTCCCTGGATTTAGGAAGATCTGATGGGCTCTAACAGTTCTCACTGCAGCCTGGTATCCACCAACTTCTCAGCACGTTGCTCTCTTGGACCTTGGGTTTCCAACTTTTTGGCCTTCAGGACTGGTGCCAGGAGTTGGATTCACCACTGTGGGGAAAAGCAGCATTCCTCCACCTCAGGCCTTGGATAGATTTTGTAAAAGAACAGGAGCAGTATAGGTTATATTTGAACTGTGGGGAAGAGAGCTTTGCATTTTTTATATTTAAATAGGATACTTTTTATATGATGGGTGCTTTGAGTGTGAATGCAGCAGGCTCTCCATTTCAGAGATGCTGCTTTTGCAGGTGATCTTGTTGTGTAACTAGGATTGGTAATTTGTACTGTTTTCCTGGTCATTTGAAGGGCCCCTTAGTTTTGATGATATTTTTAAAATAGGAACTTTTGATAAAACCTTCCAGAGGCAAATAGCAACAACAACAAAAATTATCCTAAGCCCATACCAATGCCTCAGAAATTTGGCATGTGTCCTGAAGCCTTTCATAGATTCATAGGAAATAAAGCCAAATGTAGCTCATACTCTTTATAAAAGTAAACTATTAGAAAAATGAGACCATTCCATCATTGAAGTGTTGGAATATAAAGACATTCCAGAGCATAGCCTTTTTGTAACTTTATAGGTAATCTTCCTGCAGTCTCTCCATGCTGACTCCATGTTGAAACTGCTTTTTCCCCTCAGGACCATGGGTAAGATGGCTACTTACAGGTGACTCTGAAAGGTGAAGTATTAGCTAGGTAATTTTCAGTTCCTGACATTCTAAAAACTAGCAGTCAGTAAAAGTGCTCTTCCCATTTGTGTTTCCTGGCCCCAAAACCTTTTCCAAGTGGGAGCTTCTGCTTTTAGTTTGTTCTTGTCACCATTGAAGCAAGTCTCCTCCTGATGGTTCAGACGGCTTTGCAGTTTTCTTTTCTAGAGCCTAGGCAAGCTATGTCAGGAGCTGAGCATAACTGACCTATGCATCAGGATGAACAAAGAAAATGCAGGACTCTATATGGAAAGGCTTTAAGATTCTCACTAGCATAGGTTTGTCCTCCGTTCTGTTTACAGCCTAAAATGACTTTAGCCTAACCTGTCCTGTGTGGGTGACCTAAAACCTAAAACCCAGCCTTTTTTTCTAAAAGGCTTTGAGGTACATCCAAAAAATGAGATGGCATCATAGAACTGACCCTCCAAACCAAAGACGCCCTGGTGCTGTTGCTGGTGAGACTGGCATCCAAAGCAGGGGCTAGCACAAACTCCAGCCTGCTGTCTACCAAAGGAGGTACCCAAGGTGGGTACTTTTTTTAAACCCCACTTCATATCCCTCCCTCCAGTGGGATTCACTAATTGTTTCTGGGCCTATTTCAGAGCCCTTGAAATTTTCATTATGTTTTTAAATTAAATAATGTACTTTCATTTATTCAGGAAGCAAATTTTTTGAGTGCCTACATGTAAGACAGTGTACTGGGCAGATTGAAGTTATTATTGATGTTGTTATTCCAGTGGATTGTAGGTCATAGATGCCAGGACTCTTCTGAGGCTAAGTCAGACCTGAGCAAGGGGCTGGCTTGTTGCCTGCCACCTGCAGGGTAGGAGCTACTGACCTAAAATGAGAAAGTATGGTCTTTTGTTGTTGTTTAAACATCATGGGTTTCTCCCTTAAAACTAGTTAGAGAAACAGCATCTAATCCTTTAGCAAATCACTGTAGCCTCTCTGGGAGCTGGGTGTTTTCAAATTTTATTTGAAAGTAAATTTTGTGTCAGCATGGGTATAGTGAGATTTGCTTTAGGGCCTGTGGTTGGAAGCTCTTCACTTCCTTTGGAGGGAAAGGGGGTTGGCCGCTCAGGTGAAATTTCAGAGACATGGCCAGACTTGCTGTACCCTCTTGCCCCAGGGTAGCTGCCTCATGTGGGGTCCTTGCAAGACCCTTTTGCGGGTTGCTTTGCTGCACTCAAGAAGAAAAGCCTCTATGATCCAGAATTGCTATGCACCAAATTTTTGATGCCTTTTAAATACCTTGATGCCTGTAGCATTAGAAATGCTTTCCTATTTAAAATAAAAGTTAAATTTTAAAATAGAGCTTTGTATACTATGTAAGCAGTTTTATATTAGCTTTGTAAGAGCTGTCATGTAAGAGTCAACAATATTTTTTGGCGCTGTAGATAAAGACAAATTTTTGTGCAACATAGTGGTGTTAAAGCACACATCCATTGGACTATGCAAACTAACTTCTAATGGCAGCACTAAGCAACTGGACATGTGATAGTATGTTCCCCTTCCCTCTTAAACTTGTGCTAGATCTTGGATTGAAGAATGAAACAAGCAGCCTTCTGCTTACTAGAGATGCACAGAGAAACATGGCTGAAAACAGCTTTAAAAAGAACAAGTGTCTTTAGGTTCACATGTGGTGCTGCTGCCGCCCCAGGTCCAACTCCACCAGGGCCAGCTACTGTCACCAGACCTTTATTTGGCCTGGCAGTGAAGCCCTGTGTGTGACATTCAGAAAAGATCTTGGTCATCTTTAAGGCCCAGATGGGCTCAGATTGGAACCCTGTATTTCATAAAATGGATGTTCAGTAAAGAAACTTGTTCTCAGTTATGTTTACAGCACTTGAGATCGTGTTTTCTTGTACAGTTTATATTTTAAAACGTTTTATAGGAGTGCAGTGCTCCTTAACACAAATACAAAGGGAAGAAAAGCCAACATTTCAGGCTTCTCCTTAGTTGTAGTGCTAAAATAATAAATGGTGACAGATCAAAAGTCTCTTTGAAAATCTGTCTTGAGTTTTTCTCCGCTTGAGGCTGGTTGGAACTCTTCACTGAGGCCAAAATTAAGGGCACTGTGACTTTTAGAAAGTCCACTTGGTTAGCAACTTTCGCTGATTTTTACAAAGATAATTCTAAATTTCTTTTGAGGCTTCAGTTCTGCACCCTTTAATGGGTGCAAAGGACATTCCATGGTGTTTGCTGGGTATGGGAAAGTTCAGAGTCCCCTTTAAAATTTAAGCCTGAGTTTTTGTGTGGGGGCCCTCTGCCCCCTAGTGTTTTCAAGGGATGCTGCAGCACATAAGAGTTTGTGGTTTTGCCATCTGATATTTGTGCCCAGCTGGCTATTAACCTTGTGTGGAGACACCCCTGGCACAATGTTGTCTCTGAGGTTTAAGTGTCCTGAGGACAGGAGCTATTTCTCTGCACCTCTCTACCTGCCACAGGAATAACAGGGATTGTAGAGCACTGGGACCTCTATTTAAAGGCTCAGATGGATGGACCCTTTGATTCTCCCAGGAGTCACACATTGAGGGAACCAGGGTTTACATTTTAAAAAGAAAAGCAAGCCTGCAGTGTGCCTATGAGCCCCATGATATCTGAGGACATAGTCCAAGGCAGAATAGACCAAATGCTCTCCGATCTCCAGGTGCCATTCAAGATGCTCATCATCCCTCCAGGTCTCCATACCCCAAGCCCTGGTTGCAAGATAGCCATCATCTTTGGGGTGAACAGGCAGAGAAGTAAGGGTGGAACTGGACTTGGTCTTCTCTGTGTGCCTTCTGAGAGCTTTGACAAGCCAGAAAGAAGCCAGTGGATTGAGAGTGCTCTTGGCACAGGAGAGGCATGTTAGCTGAGAGTAGATATCAGCTTATTTCCTGGCTTTCTCATCTACAAGCACACCCACTCCTTGGGTTGTAATACAGGGCGAGGTGGATCACCAACAGGCATCAGAGTGGCGTAGTCATCAGGGGCTAGCTGAAGAAAGAACACAGGTTTAGGGTAGGGACCTCCAGACTCAGCCAGGCCCCAAATTCCTCAAGCCATACAACCTCACCTGGTAGGCCTGGAAGACACTGAGCAGATCCTTCATACCAGTTGTGTATGGGATACCCTGCATGCGCACCAGGGCTCCTGGCTGGGACAATACTGAGGTGGAAGTAGAAGCCAGGGCAGCAGGGGGTGTGGCGAGGTAGCCCACAGTGGTTGGAGAGACTGGAGGGCTAGGGTGGGATAGACAGGTGTTTGTGCTTTGTACTTAGTTCAGTTCTTCCTTCTTCAGGGGCTTTAGGTGTCACATGCCTGTAATCCCAGCAATTTGGGAGACTGAGGCAGGGAGATTGCAATTTAGCAAGATGTCTCAAAATAAAAAGGGCTGGGGCATGTAGCCCAATGGTAAAGCACCCCTGGGTTCAATCCCTGGTAATACAAAAATAAAACCATTGGCTCTACAGTATCATCTCCCATCTATTTTACAGATGGCATCAGCCAGCCCATACCTTTTACTCCTTTGTCATCTCAGAATAAAGTCCAGTCTTCAACAGACCTTGGGTTATCTGGGCCAGAAAGGGATCACAATCCTTCCCCAAACCAGGACAAGTAGATGGTCTGTGGGATTCTGGCAGCAGCATACCTGGGATAGTAGGCTGTGTAGTTCATGTAGAGTTGAGTGGCTGGCCCTGGGTAGTAGGCAACAGGGGTAGGGGCAGCAGGCACCCTAGCAGCTGGGAGCAATGCTGAAGAGGGATACAGAGCTGCTGTCTCCGTGGGAATAAGGGTTGGGGTCGTCTGGAAGGTGGCGTAGGTGGGTGGTGAGAGGCCTAGAGGCAAGTAGAGAATACATCTGCATGGAGTCCAGTACTGCTCTGGGTGGGACAACTAGAAATTGGGATGTAGAACAGCCTGGTCCCCACATGCCTCTTTCTCCAGCCCCAGGGAACACTCACAGGGCAGTTTGCAGGGTGGAGGGGACATGCCACTGCGGCCCAAGGTGCCACCCATCAGGACACGGCTCATCTCCTCTGTGGAGCAGGGGACCACCTCTACATAGCGTTCCTTCATCACCTTCTTGTGGCAACGCTGAGCAGCAGCTAGGGCCCGCTCTGCTGACATCATCTGAATGAAGGCATCACCAGATGGCCGGCCCTGTACACACCATCTTATAAGCAGTCTGTCTTGTGCAAGAGTGCCTTACCCCTAAAACTCTTCCTACCTATAAACACAAGTGTCCCCCCTCCCAGCAGCAGTCTCACCTGCTGGTTGAGTACCATGTGTACACCATGGGGCCGAATGTCAGCTGCTGCCTCCCCCAGAAAGTTCAGAATATCTTCAATGGTGGCCGTGTAGGGTAGGCCTCGAAGGCGTACACAATCCCTCCCAGGCCCAGCTGCCAGTGGGAATGGGATGGGTAGCAGTGGAGCAGTCAATGTGGGAAGGAGTGGGCTAGATGCATAGCGGTTCAGAACCTAGTAGGAAGACAACAGGCTTATCAACCAAGTAGGGCAGGGGCACAGAGGAGTAAAGGTGCATTCCCGGGAAGGAGCACATTGTGGGGTGAGGACCCCTGAGTACTCACCTGCTGCACTTCAGCTGCAGTGCTCCTGAAGAGTTCAATATATCGCTTACCAAGCATGCCCTTGTGCCTGCGCAGTGCAGCCTGTGCCAGCTCCTCACAGGCGAAGAGGGCAAAAGCATCACCAGTTGGTCTCCCATCAGGATGGCGTACAAAGAGCAATCCATCAGCTCCCCCAGTCACTGGGCACTCTGGCCCCAGGAAACCTAGTACATCTGTTGGCCCAGCTGAGAAGGGCAGTCCTCGAAGCCTCAGAATCACTTGGTCTTCCCGTGAAAGGAAACGAGCCACCTCTAATGATGTTCCTGTGTGGGGGCAGAGGAGTCAGCTTGTTTGTCGCCTATCTTCATTCTTGTACTTCCAAACATCCAACCATTCAGGGGAGCAGAGAGGTAAGAGGTGGTGGTACGTGGGATAAGGTCAAGAAGCAGGGGAGCTAGGCCCTGGGGAGGGTACACTTACCCCCTGCAATCTTCACAAACTCCTCCCCTGTTGCTTTATATACCTGTGGATACAAAGGGAACAGCCCATGGGTCTCCAGCCTGATTCAGCTTTACCCTGCTTCACTCCCAGCCCAAAGCCCCACCTCAATATAACGGATGCCCATGTGGTGCTTGTGTCTCTGCAGTGCTAGGTCCCGCTGCTCGCTGTCCACAAAACGGATGAGGGCCTCACCATTTCTGCGGCCCTGGGCGTTGAGGCAGAGTGCTACACCACCCCTGTGGAGCCAGCACTGTTAGTGCCTCCTGGGTAGGCCTGCCCTCTGGGCCCTCCCATCCTGCCACACCTACCTGGCAATGTTGAGCCCTTTGAAGAATCGAGCCACATCCTGGTCTGATGACTGCCAGGGCAATCCACGGGCACGTACCACAGTCTCACTGTCTACCACATCAGCCTTGCTGCTATGGGGGCAAGGCACAAAGTCAGGGGTGTCCAGTTGTTGTCACTCCACCCCTACTCCCATACTCACCAAGGTCCCGTCTCATACTTCTGCTTTACCACCTGGGGCTTTGAAAACAATTGACCTGAGAAGAGATGACATGGGGGTCAGCAGAGTATGGTGGAGGGGGTCTCCCCACAAAGCTCTATAAAAAGAGGACAGTTGAGGGGGCTGGCTGAGGAACTGACAATGGGGCTTGTATTCTCTCAGAGGAGGTCACAAGTGAGCAAGAGGACTTTGAGGAATAGGCATTTACCAACCTTGACAGCAAGTAACAGGATGAGGGAACCTTACCACTGGGCCTTTCAAGCAGGTGGAGGATGATGGCCACCATTGTCTTTACTTCCCAGACCCCAAAGTCGTCCTCTGTGGCATCTGTCTCTAGTCCCAAATCTATGGATAGGGAAGTGACAATAAAGAAATTCCAGCACAAGAGGCCATGGGGCACTCAACACTAATCATGTTCACACCTAGGCCCAAGTGCCCTCCAGATACATGCAAAATCTCAAAACACATTGGTTTGACCCAGTTCATGTGTCCCCAGCCCAGATGCAGGTAGATGTGCCCATATCCCAAATGTCTACCAACATAGACAAAGAAATAGGTACCCTCAAGGACTCCAGATAATGCAGACTTGCCTATGTTCACAGTACCCACCAGCAGCATGCACATGCTCAGAAACATAAAAAAGCCTGTAGATGTCCCTCCACCTTAACCCTGTTGGGTCACAGATACCCTGTGCCATGGTGGCCACTGTGAGGTCCCTGGCAGAGCAGGCAGTTGGGTGCTGCAAGTGGAACTCTCTGCGGAGGTCGTAGAAGGAGAAGAAAGTGTCGGGGAGCACCAAGTTCTGGGGGCACATGGGAGAGGGGATGAATGAGGAAACAGTTGTGTTGCCCACCCCCATGACAACAAGGGTCTTGGGAACCCTACCATATATTGTGCCTTAAGTGGCATACCTTCCTTGAGGCCTCAGGGTGCAGAACCTGTCGCAACAGCTGCTGCCCATCAGTGCAGAGCACATAAGGGCCCCCACCCAGGAGAGCCACATCCCTGTTCACCAGCTGTAAGAACTGGGGAAAGGGAGTGAGGAGAGATTCAGTTAAGACACATACACAGACACAGCTCAGTAGGCAGGAATTAGGGCTAGGAGGAGGGAAGGCACAGGTTGCAAAGCTGGTTCAGCCAGATGTTCAGCCCTACCCTGCCCAGGGAGGAGGAGGCCACACCTGCGAGGCCTGTCTCTGTGTCCCAGCCCCCTCTCCAAAACCCTGTCCCTGTCCCAGTCCACTGTCACCTCCTCCAGGCCAAATAAGGGCAGTCACATAACCCAAGCCCCCATCACACACACTCCAGAAGTCTGGAGAGGGGCCAGAGCAAACACTTGGTAGATTGGAACAAGCAGTGGGAAGGGGAGGAGCAAAGCAGGTTAAACCTGTCTCTGAATAGGCACCACCCTCAGGCAGGTGGGGGAAGGCCCAGGCCTGCCTGAAGGCCAGAAAGCTCATGGTCAATGGCAGCCCCGCCTCCAGATCTAACCAACCAGAGGAACAGAGAAACTCCAAGGACAGAGCTCCACACTTGAACACCAGGGGCAGCGTGAGCTTTGACCCACACCCTATTGACCAGCTGGCACCAAGTGTTTGCTCACAGAGGAGGTGCACTCAGGAGGCTGCCCAGCCCCTCCCCCAGGCTCCATCCCTGCTAGAGAACTGGTATAAGCACTAATCACCAATTCACAAACCCCCATCCCACCCCCATCCCTGCCCCTGCCAATTCTGTGACACCTTACAACCTGAGGCTAGCAGAGCAAAGAACCCAGCTTTTCCCTGGCACCTCCCTCAGGTGAGGGATAGGCCAGGAATTTTTTTGGAACAGACTCAGAATCTTTGTGCTTCCTCATCAAAAAGATGAAAGAGTGTGCGTGTAAAGGTACTTACACTCTATACTCAAGAGTCAGTCACAGGATGGCATAGCAGTAAAGAGAACAGCAACACCTCCCTCTTTAGCCAGGCTCAGGAGGCACTCAGCAGGCAGGCTGCCCCCAGACAGGGTAAGGACAGCGCCCACGCCTGGCCAGCCGACCAGGACAGGCCTGGACGAGCACCTTACACCTGGCGGCGTCTGCCCCAGAGGCAGACACCGCCCCTACGCCCCCGCTCCAGCAGCCACCCGGGGGGCGGGCAGAGGACGAGAGCCGTAGAGCCGGGCGACCTGTGGCCAAATCAGGGCCCCTCGACTCTTTCGATTCTAGCTGCTGCTCTGGAAGACCTGACCCGGCAGGTTTAGAGACGTCTCAGCCTCCTCCCCTGCTGGTCGATGGCAGCCGCCATCCCCTGCCCCCGCCCTAAAACAGGAGTGGATGCCCGAAAAGGTTGAAAAGCAAGGCCAGGCCACCGGGAATGGCCAGCAACACATACACACGTACACGTGGGAGTAGCTCAAAGTTTCAAAGAACAATATCCTCTCCTACCACCGGGCCAATTGGTCGCGGCGCACCAGGCCTTGCCTCCTGACGATCTCTCGCACATCCCCACGGCCCGGGTGTATAGTCATCCTTGCCGGCTCCAGCGCTCACCTGCTGCAGCACCTTGTCCAGTGACTCGGCCCGCGCCAGGCTGTCCGCGCTCAGCCCGCTCGCCTCGCGGCACTGTGGACTCAGTGCAGTTGCCTCGGCTCGAATTAAAGACTTGTGCAGCGTCCCAACCTGCGACAGGCGGGGTAGTCCAATCACCCGTCGCGCTCCGTGGGCCCTGAAGTTTCCTGGCGCCCCTCGCCACCTCCTTTCCACCCTACCTGACGGCTCCGCGGCTCCACCACTTGCCATACTATAAGGATTAAGTCGGTCTCATCAGAGCCCAAGTCCGGCCCCAGTGCACCCGCAGTGGCCCCAAACAGCACGACCAGTGATCCAGATCCGGAACTGGGGTCTTCTGCGGAGTCTACTGCGGGGTCTGGGCCAGGCGACAGGGGC